CCCGGGACGCTACATAACACTAGTTGGTTATGGCAATAAGAAGCACTTGGAGTCTTCATAGGGATATTGGCTTAGTGCTCACTTGTGTTGAATCGGAATCCTACATGCATGGCCTGAAGTTCATAGCGCTGCGTCTTTGTCCATTCGTAACCGAATTGAGTACGAACATGTGCACTACTTCGTATTCAAAAGTGCTTTACTCCCTTGTTCTAACAGGGTAGTATTTCTTCCAACGCATAATTATTCAGGTTACGGTGTGAGATTTAGTTTATTTCCTGGTTAAAATCTAACGTCTTTTTTGCTACTTGAGAGCATAGTAATTTTCTATAATATACTTTTATACGACAGATCTTTCGTCCATTTATGAGGAATTTTGCAAATGCTGGTTCTTCGTTTCCTTATTTGACTACTAATTAAAGCACAAATTTTATTGGTATCAGATTTTGAAATCTGGTTTAGCTTAGTTGAATAGCGGATTCGATTGGTATTTTTACTGTCTAGTTTTTTTACCTTAGAAGATATGAGGCACTTTTTTGCCCTTAGTATTGCACCAATTGGGCGGCATGATTTTAAATGCTACCAGTCATTTTGAGTATATTTTGCATTTATGGACTTAGTGGTGTCTATAAATATACGAATAGCGAAAAAAGCCAGGAATTTCTGTTTAACTAAACCTTTCTCAGTGTCGTTGTCACTAGTTACCTTCTGTTGTATGAAGTGCTCTGGTGCCGATTTTTGACTCTGATCATGTGCTCCGCTATAATAAATCTTTCGGAACGAGGACTTGCGACACTGGATTATTCATACGAAACTGCTACTGCAATAATCCTGGATAAAAATGACATTCGTGACATAAATACGATTTCCTTCATGACAAACGTTCAGCAGGTACGATTTAAGATCTAATCAAAACGAGTCTACTGCAGCTTTCAATTGCAAATAATTTGTTAAAAGACATGTATGGGTTGGAAAATTTTACTCATATAACAATTCTTAATCTCGCATACAATGAAATATCAAGAATAGAGCGTAAGTTGTGTCTCTTGCATACCTTAATTTTACAGACCTGGGTTCACTTACTCATCTCACGTGGTTGAATTTATGTGGAAATCGTATCAAAGTAAACGTATAAATGATGACGTCATGAGTTTATTAGAAAATTGCGAAACTTTCCCACAATCTTGCTTTGAAACATCTGGATTTATCAGAGAATGAGATTGAACGGCTAGGTGATTTGTCGAATTTATTGAAACTGAAGGTATGTAACAGTCATTTTGTTGACTGTATTTTAGACGCTACTTCTTCATTGCAATCGCATCGCAAGCTTGAAAAGGGCTGAGAAATTTCTCCCGCACTCGTTGTGTATACTGTCACTAGCTGAGAATGATATCCCCACTTTAACGGAGGTAAGGCAATTTTGCGCGGAAGTTTTCCAAAAATTATTAGTTTAAGTCTCTCGTTCACTGCGGTTCGCTTCTCCAGCTATCAATACAGGGCAACTTGTGTGCATTTAATCAGTATCCTTTTGTGTGGTCATTTCTGGTTATAATTAACCTCGTTGGTTTCAAGTATGTGACATGCATCCTTTGTCACTTTTTGTGACAACTTACTGTTTGTTCGAGCCCAAACAATAAACCAAATGTAGGACTTGGTTTGAGGATAATTGCATCTTATCGTGTAGCATTACACAGGTCTGTAAGTATTCTTGGAAGTGTGCTTAAATTACTGGCAACTAGATCAAAATACCAGAGACATATCTGCTGTGCTCAAATTAAAAGCCCAGTACTCTCAAAATCTGCAATCTGTTAAAGTTTTTTAGTCGATTATTTATGCTTTCTCCTTTACTCCGGGCTAAGAATACCCCACAGTCGAAGCTACATCCTTGCATTGCTGCCAACTTTAAACTTTATTGATGGTAATCAACCTCTCCAAGACGAAAGGTGAGCATGGGTTGGATGCTTTAAACGAATGCTCGTCTTAGATTGTTGGGTGAATGGATAGCGAAATCCGGTGCCGTTCAAAGGTACAATGCTGAGGACGAATTCACCCTCATCGACTTCTTGCGTGGCTTGAAACTAGAGGCAAGTTTTCATCATCATGGCAGCTGGATTGCGGGAACTTAAAAGTCCCTATAATCCAATGGAATCGGATAACGCAGTTATCATTCTGTTAGGATATTGAGTAAACTTGTTTCTTTTCATCTCTTTACAGTTACCACATCAAGCAGAGCCACGATTCTGCAGACAGAGCGACGCCACGCGACGTGTCGGCTGTTCCCGAGGAGCTGTGTTCAAACGCAGCTCCACTGCAACAAATGGCACCACTCTGCCTACTCCTCGTAGCAGCACGCCTCCAAGATGGCTGCAACGGGCTCGCAGTGCTCAGAACATTACGTCGACTGCCGCTGTCGCCGCCTGTGAGTATTTCGTGAGGTTACAGATTTATTTGATCCTTGCCGGCCCCTTCTACCTTGTTGCCATATTATGGGTGAGTAGAATTAAAAATCGGTATTCAAAGCTCGCTTCTGCACTTCAAGATGCCATGCTGACTGACCAGTCAACCAAAGGCTTAGTTTTTGCCCATTTTAACAAGTAGGGAGTAATTTCGGGGAAAATCATGGCTTTTTTGTTTCTAAAGAAGCTTTGGCTTGGAGGGATTTGAGAGTAGTTTGAAAGTCCTAAGACAGCTTACTGTGTTGATCAAACAAGTGCGAAAGCTGTTTTGGTTCTAAGTGTGTAGTAATTTTGCAAAACCACAACTAGTTGTACTTGCTGATCCCACAAAAAGCTCCAGAATCCCGAAACTATGTGTTCTAGGGATTGGTGAGATGCACACGGGGATGACTGCTACGCTGTGTGCTGGGAACCACTATGGCTGGGCAACCCATCATCGTATTGTATTGGCCTTGAAGTTATCTCTACGAGTGGATGCTGGCGAGTTTGGATCCTACGCGAAACCTCTTTCCTTACAGCGCGTTTTTAGTGGAGTCGCTCACTCCCGTCGTTGCATGCCATTCCCGATTAGCGGTGTCTTGACTGGCTCTTGATGATTGCGTCATTTGTGACCAGGACCTACTTAACACTCACTATTGGATGTAGCACGGCCATAGCTGTTAATGGTGCGACCTTACCTATTCGATTAAGGTGACAGAGGTGCATCTCACTCTATCTCCCTCCTTTTTGTAGCTACGTGCTTGGCTGACTCGATCCACAGTTCTAGGGTAAGCTCTATCCAATGGTGGAATGCTTATACTGTTTACAAGCCCTTTTGCAAATTTAGCTACTGGGGCATTGAAGGGTTAGGCATAGTTAAATCGCCAAATTCACCAATCCTTTAGAACCCAAAACCTTCTCTTCAATGTCAGCCACAATTATCTGCAGCCTCCTGTAATGCAATTCCTACTCTCACAAATCCTTGGTATGCTTTTTGATTTGTTTCTTGGTAAAAAGAGGCATGACTTTCCCCACTCTTATAACCCCCCTTCCTCCTTGCCAGCGCCCCACACATCCTTCGCTCCGACTCAATTTTTGTCCCAATCGATAGCGATGTAGAATTAGAGGAGGCGGAGGCAGAAGTGACGGTGCAGTCGCCGAAAAACGTCGCACGAATAGTTTCTGTTGACCTGCCTGTGGACTGTCACTTGCACAGCGAATCTGGACCGACACGGTGGATTGGCGTGATTGTTAACTTTTTACTGACTTTATTTAAGTAGTAATTATTTGCAGTTCGTTTTTGGAATAGATGTGAGAATATGCCAGTGTTGACAGTCACTCAGGGGACACATTATTCACCACAATTTTTGAGGAGTTTGACAGCACTGTCACAAAAATTGGAATCCGCTTCTAGTTTCAATGAAGAAACGGAGGGAGTAGCCTCTAAAGTTAGGTTAGTTTAGTTGTACAACTTTGTATGATATGACATTATGATATTACTTATCGAGCATATGCTTTCGAAATACGGACAGCGCGTTCGATTCTGAGGTGTGCCAATAGACAGCCTCTGCTTGAGAAGGAGTTAAGAATAATTGATAAGCTGGAAGGTCTCATTTATACGAGACACCACAACGTAGGACAAGCCGTCCCATCTCCCGATGGTAGTCTCTCATTCATGGCCTCTTTGGCAGTGGACAATCAGATCTCAAAAAAGGAGGAAGTAAAATGCGAATGGAAACCACAGCGACGGAAATCTGGCTTCTAGACACTAGAAACATAATATAGGGGACGTTCCCATATGTCTCGTTGGGGAAGGCGCATAAATTTTGATGCGTATTACTTCAAGAGATTAAAATGTTTTGCTTATTTTTATATGGCTGATCAATTCTCATTTAAACATTCATTTATGCTTATTTAGTTGCCTCAGATTCCACGGTTAAATGTACTTTTTGAGTTTCCAAAGTCACCTTTTTGGAAGGTGAATTACAATTTCTTCTTTACGTTATCGCTTTTGGGGCAACTTCGGATGTGAAATATCGCAATTTTTTAAGAATCCATATGCAACTGAGAGGGGTCACTAAATTGTTAAATTGATTTCCATCCACAGGCAGTAAAGAAGCTGTTCAGGATGAAATCATTCAGCATTATCATCACTGCTAATTCCATCTTTTGCTTGCAGGAAACCTTCTTCGGTATCTGACGTAGAAATGAAGGGGAGTAGTAGCATGCTTCCTAATCATCGTCTGCGGTTTTCGCGCGGCGCCCTCGCCTCCCTTCTTCACCACCGACCTTGTATCACCGAGGGACCTGCTATCAATATGATGTCAGAAAAGGCTGATCATCGGTAAGATGGCCCTTTGTTTTTTGAGAAAAACAGGGCACGTAACTGGTGTTAGGGATTCTTCTGTGGAATAAAACTAATTGTTTTGATATTTCAATGCTCATTTCATGCCTCTTGCTATTTGCATCTTTACTTTTAGATCCAACGAGGGGGCTTCAGAGACCTGTAGTCCTCTATCCGAGCACACTTTTGTCGTTGGTAAGCGTAGCCTGGAATTGGATCGTTTTTAATCACTATTTTTCTTTTCAAAAGTCAAATATGGGAAGAAAACGAAAAGAAGTATTACTTATGTTGTATCTGAGTTACACTTGTCATGCCCTCTTAAACAGTCTAGTTACGATTTGAAGAAAATCTTATAATACGTGTTTAGATGTTGCAGAGCAGCCTAAAATGATTTAAATGGGTATCTTAGTGGACTTGACTGCGCATCAGTCTAAGGTATACTAAATGTTGCGCCGTAGTCGCTTTCGAAACAAGTGGCATTTTGATAGTGAACTGATAAAATTAGGTACATCAATGAGTCCTTCATTACTCAATTGAAGTCTATCAAAACTTTAACCGTGAAGTAATTCCTTACTTTTTTTTAAAAGATCCACCGTTTGAGTCAACTAGATCGCCTGAAGGTCTAGAAGCAAAGATCCTGGCGTTACGCCGTCAGTTGGAGGAGCTTCGGGTGTTATCAGCCAATCAGGAGCGTGAACGACTTCGACAGGCTGGTGCTATTCGTCGTCTTGCTGAGGAAGTAAGTCCTTTATTTCAATATCAGTACAGTTGTTTGGTCTCATTAATGCGGAGACGTGTATTTGCTTAAGAAGTCGTACGAATCGCACCGCTTCAGTAACTACTCTACTAAGTGCTATCAATGACAAGTTCAACTGTTGGCAATTCTATGACTATATAATTGCAAGTCGAATTTGAGATTGCTGGTGTCGTCGTAAAGGCCCTCAGAGACATCTAGCCACAATTTTGGTGCGTCTCGCCGCATTGACCTGTTGTCAAATCCATGAATTGTCAAGCATTGACAGACATGGGTCTATCGGGGCGGATTTCCTTAGAATGCTCCACTCCGTTGTCTGTACTACAAAATGTGGCTTAATTTTCTGCATTGAGGCCGTGAAACTTAGTTGCACAGGCAGAGAATCCTCTCAAATTAGCTGGATAGTGTCCGGCAAAAGTGCACTGTGGGGGTAGCAGAACAATCCACCTTCCAAGTGTGGTTTAGATCAAATATCTTGATTATGACAGCTTATCCTACAAGAACAGGTGGGACATCTTGAGGGGAACTTTCTCATCTTCCTAACAATGTATATGTATGTGTCACTGTCTGTCAAGAAATACTTCCAGCAATGAGTTATTACAGGACAGTTCGTGAGTGATAAAGTGAATGATTTAAACCAACATTAGTCAGGAAGGAGAAGTTGTGGTCAAAAATCAGCAAATTGGTTACATTTATATGCATTAACAGATGACAGCAAGCTGGAAGGATGCTTAATTTGTTTTCACTCACTGCTTTCATGTACATTGGTGAACGCTATATGCATTCAACACTGTCCGTTCAGTGACTGATTGACTTTTGTTGTGAGATAGTTTTAAATTATAAAGTTATGTGGACAAACACAGCATTTTTTATGCTCTAAATCATCCACTCTCTACCAACACCACACTTCATAGTCATACAGCACTTCATCCTTAGAAAGCAGAGCATGCCTTGTGGTGATAAACAATCGCGTTCATTTCTAAGTGTCTCTCTGGGTGACAAGTCAATACCTGGTACGGCTAGAAAGGAGTACGAATATCTTGTGATCTCATTCCAGGTGCGTAGCTTGAAGGCGTGGAAGGCCTCCGTCCTGCAGCGTCAAGAAGCCTACCATCCCGCCGCTGGTGACAGCATACATCATAAATTTCAATCAGTGGCGGATCCCGATTCGGCACCTCAGAGGGTCTGGAGTGTGCACACATCTTCTGCCTCACCTTCGCTCTCCACTTTAGTGGCCATCAACACCTCCTCCACCACCAATGCCACTGCGAATGTCAGTGCATTAACAGTGTGTGATGTGGAGGGACAGGAAAGCGAAGAAGACGAGGAGGAAGAGGAGTGAGTATGATAAGTGGATTTATCGCATATCTTCAAAGTAAATGCGGCGTTGGGTGAATCCAAGTTAAAATCCCCTCCATCAGCAAAGTAGTTGCAATCAGAATGTCATAATTCCTTTTTGACAGTAAATGTAGAGATGGTCTACACCGAAATCTTTTATTTCCTTATTAAATAAGTACCCATAGCTCTTCAGTTTGGCCCCGTCTTGCAAATGTTCATTTTGGTTCTTTATTAGGTTGTAGGTCATTTCAGCATTCTTTTTGAAGTTTTATGACTTGTGCATCAAGTTTGAATGCAAAATCATTGCTGTCGCTATAATCTGTTGCGTGCGTGCGAGCTTAGATCCGCTTGGGAGTAATAAGACGACCGACTTCAAAACGGACACTTATCCGCCGACGGGATGAGTGAACCGGGATTACGGCGCGTGTGTACGTGATTGGGGGCTGACACCTTGTAGGGACCAGATGGCTCCATTCCCATATATTTCTTACAATTTTTAGTCATAGTCTCAGTTATTACTAGCACATTTAGGGTTCACCTCTGCTTAATACTGACTCATCAGGCTGTTGGAACAAAATGGCGAATTCTGGAACGTACTAGAATGTTCGTTCTAGTTAGACGTAAGCAGTGAAACCTCTGGGCAATCGAGAACGGAACAGTCTCTAATGTTGTAAATCGATAAAATGATGCCCGCGAGTAAACGTATTGTCATTATTTGAAAAGTCGAAATACTAAACGCTTTGCGCTCTTTCCGGAATCGCTCCCTACAATGGATTCTCACTCCCTAGTAGGCGATCGCCTATCTTCGTGCACCATAAAGCATGGATAGGACCAAGTCTGCTGGTATGGTGTACTTTCCTTAGGCTTCAAGATATTCCCATCCTTTTGGAACCTTAGTTACACAGAATGTTGATTGAAACTTGCGAATGTGATTTAAACGTGTCTGTTTAGCATGGCGGGTGTAAGTCCCCTGCAAGACTATGAAATATTGTTGACACGATTGCCGCCAAGCGCTTGACGAAGGTGCGGCATGTCGTAGTGAAATACCGAGTGGAACGGGATTAATCCATGAAATGTGATTCGACTACTGAAACGTTTGAAAGCATCACATCGTGACAGGCCCTCTATCCCTGAACAGAGGTGATGATGAAACAAGTGATATGCACCTATATCACCTGGAGGGGCAAAGTCACCTTGGAAGGCATACAAATGGTTGTCACACGCATCAACAGATTCAAACAAGTTGCTTTTATTCACTTCCTTAGCTCACTTTAGAGAAATCCGATGTGCATTTGAGCTTTCTACTGGCACAATGGCTTGTGATGGGGAAGGGCTTTTTTGTTCGAAAGCTTGTTGAGTGAAGTGAAACCTCGTTGACCATTCTCAAGCAATCTCACACTTTTATTTCACATACAGTTCCATTTTCAAAAAAACTGTTTTTGCTACCTGAAGTCTGAGCAGCCAGTCAAGGTCAATCTTCCCTTTGCCACTAAAAGGAAATCAACAACACCAACAAATACGTTGAGGAAAGGGCTCTTTTTTGAAGGGAGGTTAAGGCAAGGCCTCATACCTCAGTCCGTCGCTAAAGTTGCCCATGAGAGGGACTTACACTGAACCTTAGGGCGGGAGGAAAGTGTTACCTCGTCCATGTTCACTCCACTCCCCTCCTACTTCTCCAAATAATTAGTATCATTTAGTCTTGACATCAATCCTAGACAGTGACATGGATGCCTTGTTAAATGGAGACAACAATTGGAAGCACAAGACAGGGGGAAACGCAGATGTCTAGGGCTATATTTTTTTCTTGACTGCTGAAGGCAAAACGCATTCTGAAACTGGAATCTTTCATGAGTCTGTGTCTTATGTGGAGAGGATGACAGATGGTCGCAGTGATTACCCCAACAAATCCGATACTCATCAAGAGTCTATCTGCAATTACCTACGGCTACTTGCTTGCCTCCCTTATACTATCCACGCAGTGCAACATCTGCGGATTAGATGCTGTACTCTGTTTAGATTTTAAAACTAATCTGCATGTAATTTACATTACGCGGCAATTATGTGTCTAACAATATTGTAAGCAAAAACCGGATATAGTGAACAAAGGAATTGAGCCCAATACAGAAATAGTTAGCGGCACAGTGGTAAGGACTTTGTTGAAATGAGAATTTATATTTCATCAGTGGAGGGATGCATCACGTGCTCATAATGCGAATTCAGTCCATGTCTTAAATTTCATTCATAAACTACTGCTGGTTAATGCTCATTAAGGCAACTTGGTAGCGCCCCAAGACTTCCCTGAGGACGAAAGGGTACGTAATACTGGGGCAGAATGTGCATTGCTGGCGTACAGATGGGCTAAGGTCTATCGCTGTGACCCGAAGTTCACGCCACCCAGCAGAAGCCCAGAGGCAGAGCCTTCATTGCCCTCGAAACCAAAACGGAGAGCCGAAAAAACGGTCAAAGTATTGCAACCTCGATGTGGTATTGTGATAGAAAGTTGACGCTTTTTTATTGCAAATTTACCTCACATGCGGCGGGCGGCTTTTTGGGATTGTGGCCACTTTAAGTTGTTGCGTGCGTAGCTTTCCCTATGTGCACACGGATATATGGTTTCAAACAGGCATTAATTTTTTTCTTAATTAATGTACTCCAACGTTTAATCTCATTATTTTTGCCTTAGAGTTACCAGTAAAATACGTCGACTCGACTAATTTTTGTGGTGATAGATAGCTGGGCTACTGCCGTCATTGAGAGTAGAAGCAGGCGGACTGAAAAGCATTTAAGGGAGATGCCATTCTTGTACCGCGTCTCTGTTTTCTTACTTCAGCGTCCACCTTGATGCTACCCTTGAGCACTTCTGATAACTGTTGAGATTTAGGTATAAGTTGCAGTACTTTGTTCGCTCCACTTTATTATGGGGTCTAATTTTGACCACGTTTGCCGTGGAAAATAAAATTGGAGCAGATTGCATCCTACGAATTGGTGATTTGGCTCCAAAAAGTATGTCAGTTTGCTTAAATGATGCATGTCTCCGTTTAAGTCTGCGAGCGAGAGTGCAAAATTTAAAGCTTTAGTTCGCTTACTTTCATTACAAATGTTGGAGATAGAATTTTAAACCACAATAGAGCTTAAAATTTGAAGTTTTAATGCGATTGATTTCACTATAGTTTTTTATGTATGCTCTTGTTGTTTTAGGGTCACGTTGCTAGAAATAATTTGATAAGACCGCGTCGGAGAAGGAGCTGTTGTTGTGCCTCAACTGAGCCTATCAGAGCTCGGCATTTAGTCCTGTTTTAATTGATCTGGTTGCTCACAAAGTAAACAGGCACCGATTCTTTGATCGCTTTCTGGAAAGAGAGACTTTGAATTCGGCTAAATAAGTTCATGTTGATTTATAGTAGTTACAGTTACTCATTGATTTGTTCAATATTAAAAGACAATTATTTGCCACCTTGACACCAACTTAAAGATAACTCCATTTTTGTGCAGCGTTTCGTCTGCAGAAGCTCCAGGGGAAACCTAGTCCTTTCCACCACTGTTTTTGCATCATTCATGTCTCCAAGTAATTCTTTCAGTTAGCACTTGATCATCGAATGCCAAGGGCAGCAAAAAGTACTTTAAATGGTTGAGGAAGATGAGGTGATGCAACGCATTACTCCTTTATCCTAATATATGGTATGAAGTACCCTTACAGATGAATTTAGCCGTGGAATTGGGCACGGAATCCTGCATTCAGTTATCGTTTGACACTAACACTCTTTTTAGCAGCTTCCTTCTCTTGACTGCTTTTGTTTAAGGATTCGCCTTACCACCAAACTTTCCGGTTGTGTCAAGTAGACGTATGACGCGATAATAACTGGCTTAAGAACTCAGAGAGCATACAATTCCCAGTGGGCAATTGTATTTGCAGTGAGCCGAACACATATTAAAAGTCAGGCAAAGTTTTCTGGGAACCAACTTATAGGTGACATGGAAATGTAGGATGAGAAATGGGAGACTTGATGGGGGATGATCAATGATATGTTTGTTGGAGCAAGTCAGCCAGATTGTTAGCAGACGATCCAACTTACCTACTGCCAAATAAAAGTTATTTGTGGATATGGGTGCTTTATTCAACCATTTGCGTACTTATTATTACTTTCTTTAACAACGAAAAAATTATGCTTCTTGATTATTTGACTGGTGCTTTAGACACTCGTTAACAATATCTGCAGGGAGATGAAATTCCACCCGGTTTAAGTATCACTACATCAAAGCTGTGTTAGCTTCTGAAAATATTAGTATTCAAGGTCTTACCAACATGCATCAGTGAAGAATTTACCTGTTATGTAAATGATTTTGAGTGTTTTAAAAAATGCTCTTATGTTCAGCCTCGGCCGTTCTTTAAGGTTCCATTACCACTGACCACTTGATAACCAATCAACTTCAAATCATATGTGATTGTAAGTTTTTTCTTTTTATGAACAGGAGTCCTACCGACGACTCAGATGATGGCGGTGATGAGGTTGAAGATTTTCCAGAGCCGAGGGCCTCATCTTCGGACATGAACGGCACTCTCTTAACAGCCAACATCTCCACTGACAGTCTTGACACGCGTCGCTCGCGCACCTCCACCCCAATGGGTTTTGGCACCTTGTCTACATACCTGGGAAATGTAAAGATGAGCATTTTGTCTATGAAAAAAATTAATACTGAAGGTGAAAATAAGTAGAAAACTGATTTCAACCCAAAATAGAATCAACGCACAATAATTTTATTTGATGAATGTCTTTGAGTGGTCCAGAGTCAGCTGCTAAAACGCAGCCTTAGAACCTCAGGCATCAAGTGGGAGAGTCAGGTCTGGTCTTTTGGTAAGCATCATCCATTCGGCCTGGGCGACTTTCTATAGTCGCAATTGTTCACTCACGAGAATCCAAACAATTGCGTCTGTATTTCACCTCCTCTCCGCGATAGAACTTGGGATTGTCAGAAAGACAACCTCTTTTTGAGCAGTAATTAGTATTAGTGAATCAGTTTAAATAAAGCCATATTTGGACGCCTGTTACTTTTGTCAGCCGATGTAGTTTATGTGACCCAACCATAAGATGAACTTATTCTGTGATACAGTTTTCTGGTGGTTAACTTTTGGCACTTTCTATGGAGAAAATTTGTCTCCATTTAGTGGTTAATACTCAGGCTCACTTTAACATGGAGGCATTTGTATAAAGACCTTGGCATCAATGTCACAAAAAGGTAAGTATGAACTGCCAATTAATTAGCCCTAAAGTTCATTGGAGTACTCTTTTGAGTTGTGAGAAACCTTGGAGATGTTCCACTGTCTTTGATTTGATTTTCACAACGGTTTAGTCCAAGTGCAATTCAGAGGTCACAACATGTACGTTGTTAGGACTTTGTGGTAAAGCTGACCCCTACAGTTCACCCAGATGTTTGCATCTTTGCATATGCCATCAACACTTGTACAATAGCATTAACTAGTTCAGCTTTCTCGGCAAAACAGTAAACGACTGCTTAATTCTTCCCGGGCAAAGAATATCCTAAATATGTGTTTCTGTTTTAAACTTTACCCTCCTACTTGGAACTCGTGAATCGGTGTAACCAGTAATCTAAAAAGGATAAAGAACACATGTCTCGTATATGTGACGTTGGATGGTAACGTTTAATAATGCATGGTTTCGTACCTCCACTACTACCCCGAAAGGCTAAGATTTGTCGGAATCTTGCTTACGATAAGTTCGAGTAAAAAGGCTTATAAAGTTAGTCAAACTAATTTACTTAGTTTTCCGATATAAAGATAATTCCAACTGATGACCGTTTTTGTATCATTTTAAGTGCTGTTCGAAACATTGGTGGATGGGACGGGGTGATACGGAGCACTTGTACCGTACAGTCGATCAGACTTTTGCACCTCTACAATGAAATGGGCGTTAATTTGCCTACTTATATGCTGAGTTAAATTCAGTAGTATACCCTCACAGCACCACTAAGTCCACCCGTATAATACAAAGGAGAAGATTATAGCATTTCGTGGTTAAAACTGTAGTGTCACGTTAGTATACCGGAATGATGATCTTTGTAGCCTTCTGCACCAGCTATCAGAGCATCCAGTTAAGTGTTTAGTAAAGCCTTCGCTTTATGGTAGAAGGCTATCACACCGCCCAGAGGAGATTTAAATTGACTGCGCAAACGGTCAGATGGTAAGTCTGCAAGGCGGAGGCATCCAGTTTAGGCAAACCGCTGCAGTTTTATAATAAAGAAATAAAAGTTGCTGCTGATGGTAGAGTAGCTCTAGATTGACGTACGAGCAGTTTGCAGAGGCAAGTGAGAAGTCATTATGGAAGTCGAGTAAATTGGTTTAACTCACATCCACTGACATTGGACGGAAGATAGAAGCTGGGAAGATTACCAATTTGCCACGCTCTGGCGATTGGATACCTAGCTACTGACTGGCTTATGCTGCAAAATGACTTTTACATTTCAACTTCAACCCCAGTATACTCCATCTGTTTTGTGCGGAACACTGCGGAATCCATTGTTCCCATGGACTATCCACTTACTGCAGGCCATACTACAAGAGCAAAAAAAGACGACTTTTGAAGCTTTTTATCTGCCATCTGATGCCAGATGATGGCCTTCACTACAACTTTCCTCACCTGCTTAGTGAACATGTCAACCGCTTGTGTGCCACTCTCCAACTACTCCAACCACCAACAGCATTCAGTTCCTCTGTTTGAAAAGCAGGACAGCCTTCACCTAATAAAAATCTGTGACTATTTGGTTATTCTGACATCCTATACCACACCTCCTAATACTTGGCGAACAATCGAAGAAAAACTTTCTGTAACCTTAAAACCGAGTTGAAGCAGGTTCATACGATGGACTACTACGAGCCGCATCCATAAGGTTCGCTCAAGCGGAGATTTTTTAAGTGAGTTGAAAGAGAATCGAGCACATAAAATGCGTCCTTTCGGAGACACTAATTTGGGCCTGGTTTATAATACACATAAAATACCACTGTCTTTTATAAGCCCCTGGACGAGTTTACGTGAAAGTGCTTCGCCTGGATTCTCGTAAGGCGGTATTTACAAGTCTCAGTCCCCCCTGTAAGATGGGAAAGAAATATGCCATCAAACCTAAATAAATGCCTGCTATACCCCTATTGTGCAGGGGAGGCTGTTTGTATTTATCGTTTGTGCTTTTTAATCCCGCCTTTTTGTTTCAGAACTGTCAACTGGCCTCTGAGTCTATCCTTCTTCCAACCGATGCCAATTCATCCACTTAAGTGTGCTGTCAATCCATCAACATCAGGCGATTGATGTATCAGTTGTGTGTACAGGCCGAGGTGATGTATGTGATTGGTGAGAATACAAACTGCTAATCGGAGGTAGTTTTTCATGGTTTGCCTTTCAAGAAGTGATTCCACTCCCTTCTCCTCTTTTGCAGATGTCTGGTAGTTTGCGTTGAAGCCTTTGCTGCCTGGAGCTGTGCGGACGTGAGTCGAGTAGCACAGTCTAAATGGTTGATTGTTCTGATACACCACTGCCACTTGTGTCGGTTGGTCGTGTAAACACTGGCAGAAGTGTTTGAATATCTGGAAGCATCCTGCTTCTCTTCGCTGTTTTTCGGCTCCAGACCACCCCATTTACATTAGTCCGGAAAGTTTGTCTCTCCACTATCTACTAGGCTTTTTTAATTCCCCGGCTTTCTTTAACCTTGATTACCGACGAAGGTATTCTTATGTCCGTATCGAGTAGTTTTTAAGCACCTCTTAACACACCGACAGCCTCACTCCTTTCAGCCTTTATTTGGCGCCGTAGAATGCTCCAACTACTCACCACATAATGTTTATTCCTTTCTGTCCCGGTCACAAAATCCTGTTTTTTATACGTCTTTTTCATTCAGCAAATATAGTTAAGAGAAGTCATTTACCTCTAGTTTTCTGCGTCAGAGTTTATGCGTCCGTTAGTGTTGATGATGGAGAGCCTACTGCCGATTTTGCTCGTGAATTTAGTAGCAGCCATTTCAGTGATAAGGAGACAATAAAGCGCTACTGTCGAGAGAACAACCATTCATGATAAAAGACTTTTCCTTGCACCTGAACTTTTTCGAAAAGGGCCATACTTTTAAGAGAAATGTATATAACTAGCTAGATTTTATCATGGAAAGTCAGATAATGAAGGAATATTGTATAGGCAGTGGATATTGCCTATCCCCTGTCAGGACACACTCAGATGGTTGTCAAATGACAACGAAGGTGGAGTGCGACTCAAAGTCATCGCCACTGAATGATGCCCTGGCGGAGCGAGTGAATTCAACACCTGACTTGTAAAATCTCGTAGTCGAGGCCACAGATGAACCATGAATGTGGGAGCCAAAGACAAGAAACCGCGCTCATTTTAGTTGGTGTATTCGTGATAGCACAGAGGGAGCGAGAAAGAAGCACAATCAGGCGAAAGAGTTGAATTGCCACCGTATCAACATTGCTGGGAGTGGAGGGGTGTGAAATGTTTTAAACCAAGAAAGCAAAATGAACGAAAAAGGTGGAAAAAGGAACAAAGTCACCTACAGCTGTGCAGTAAGTGTCTGTTTCCACTCAAAGTGTCGTGAGGGGAGTATGAAGGGTAGTGATGGACCATCATGTCTCCCAAATTCTCTAGGGGACTGCGAAGTATTTTAACAGGTAAGTTGAGTAATGTGGCGACGTCTGCGATCCGCTCTGACTTTCCACAACGCCCTTCTCTTATTTTCCACTTTCCGTTCTCTTTGGTGAGGCAGGCGTGTTTGAATCCCATTCTCCGAGTTCGTTCAACCCACACATTCTGGTATGGGAAGTCAAAGACGGAAAGTAAACTGGTCTATTTGATAATGGAGAATGTTGGTGATACTACATGTCTCTTCTTATTCTCCATAATGCGTTAAGTTCGAAAACTTGACCTTCCAGTTGTGTCTACAGCTTAACAACATAGTAACAGACATTCTTTTCTGTGTTTTCATGGCTTTGTGCAACTTTCATGGAGATGGCAGGTATCCTCCAACCTGTCGATCCATTATTGCCACTGATAGGCCATCTCACGCTTGGGTCGAAATAGCACATTTAACGTGGCCGTTAACACCTTCCCTAACTGATAAGTGAAGGCTGTAGTGACCGGTCTGGCCCATTCCAGGTGGAACTTGCACCCTTAGTACAAGTAAGACAATTTTTTGCTTCCACAGTTACTTCCAAAGCTCTGTAATCAAGAGAGGCCCATAATTCCAAATTTAGAGGTAACTGAGGAAATGAGGTGGGGGGTAGGGAAGGGGGTGGATTCCTACCAGGGTTCAGTTGTTGTCTGAGTCTCCCACTGACAAAGGTTCGGCCTTGTTGAAAAATGGAGTAGATTAGGTGGCAGAATGAAGCAATGCTTTAGCAGACTCGAATCGCTGGGTTTAGTGCAAAACCGAAGACCTTCAAAAGCCGGTTAATTGTTTTATTCCACAGGATTTTGGTGAAAAAGTTACATCTCAAATTGCTCTTTTAACAATAAAAAGAGTCGCGGTTGAAAAGCAGTCCATGTTTTGGAGGTAGATAGCCTGTGTTTGAAGCGGATTGCAGGGAAAATGGTATCAAGGGTTAAAAAAGAACTGCAGTACTTGCATCTCCAACCTTCTCACTTTTATTGTCATGACTGCACATAGTGCGAGACGTTTGTAGTGTCTAACTGCTTTTAAAGTTTGAACTAGACGAGATTTGATGTAACAGTGGCGCAACTGGCAATTGTGGTGGTGGAAAAAGGTGACTATAATTCGACATTTGATATCAACATAGTAAAATGCTATCATCAATTTAGCCACTTGACCAAATATAAGGGGGGTAATTTTTTCCAAAAATGAAGAAACAACTTGCTATTTGCTTGAGTAGCGCATAGACTTGCAAAAATTGTTTATGTCAAACTGGGCCTTTTGAGATGATTGTTGGTGACTATAGGTCTCTACTGCATTTGTACAATGATCCTAGAGCCTAATTACCTCCTTGTCAGATCTTTCGCAAAAAAAAGATTTATAAATGCGATTGAAGTTGTATACGTTAACATGCACAACTTCGCCATCAGTGGTGAAATTTTTTGACCTCCTGAAAAAAGGTGTCTTGGAGCGAAGCGCGTCAAATTGTACGGCGTGTGACTTTCTCTATATCTTTCGGAAACACGTCATGTGGAGTTTTGTGGCAGATCGACTTAGAGTTCTTCAACCACCCCGTCTAGTGCCTTACTACTCCTGGCTGTGCGTCCAATCATAGCACTGTCCTTGAGGTCTCGATCATCGGTGTCGCCATTGGTCAATGGCATGAACACCAGCCAAGGAAAGATTAATGCGGTTCACTTGCCACCCACTACTGCATGTGATCCCGCCCAAATAATGCCCTTGTTTTTATCGCATGCCTGTAACATTTAAAGTCGCCTTCTGACTTAAATGTTCCCTATGTAATGCAAAGTGCATGGCAAACGAAAAAGTCCCTGAGAAGCCATTACCAATTAATGCCTGACAGGATCCAATGAGATTAAGCAAAAACAGGCAAAAATATCTCAAGTATTGGACCTTTATTTAAAAAGAAGTGAAGAAAGGATGGTGTTTTAATTTGGTTAATATATTTTTGACACGGAAGCGCATCTGTAACCGGATTATTTCGGGGAGCAATGGACCACTTCATTCTGATTGCCTTTTGTGAGGTGTACTGTCAACATCATGCATCTTTTTCAAAGTTATCATGTTCATCACTCCCTTTTACAGCAGAGGGTTTGGTAAAGCCACTTATCAGAAGGTAATTAAGCACCCATCGAGAAGGATTTCGGGGTGTCACATATGTGTGAAGCCCTCAAAGGATTCTAACCTCAAGTGTTAGTGTGCCTCACCCCAATGCCTTGATGTCAAATGCGTGAATTGTCAAGCATAGACAGACGTCAGCCTATTGGGCTGAATTTTCTTATTGTGCTCTTCTCCGCTGTCCTCTTACGTTAAACTGACCCTTGGCATTATAAAATGTGACTTGATTCTGTTGAATACGACTGTGGATCTTCTGCATAGAGACTGCTAAATCGATTACACAACTGAAGGAGCTTCTCCTCGAATTAGTTGAATAACATAAGGCGAATGTGCGTTGTGAGGGCAGCAGAATAACGCACTCCTAATTATGGTTTAGATTAGGCTACCTGATTCGGATAGTGTGCTCTACAAAGATAGATGCAGCATAGTCAGAAGGACTATGCTTTACTGTCAACGCAGCATTAGGTGTTACTGTCTGTCGAGAAAGCCTTCTTGCAAATAACTATGATGGGACACAGTTAGTAAGCAATGTAAAATGACTAAGCGAGTCTCAGCAGGTGAAAATAGGCTCAAAGGAATATTAAAGTGCCATTTCTGTGATCCTACGTACATTGGGAAATGTTTTACATTAAAGGCAGTTAAATTACTCACTTTCGTTGTGGGACAGCTTTGTATTCCAGAGTTATGTGAACAAACAGCAATGTTTTTACTCCGAACCATTCACTCCCTATCCACACCACAATTCAATCATGCAGGTCCTTGTTTATAGCAGGCAGCTGTCAAGGGGTAAATTTTTTTTAATCACTGGAAATAAAACAGCCTGAAAGCTGGAGATGCTTTACCATAAATGAAGGGTGATTTCAATGCATATTGGCTCTCAATTTAGGGTCTAAAAGCGATTATGAGATTATGATTGCTCCCTGATTGTTAGGTAGATGGCCATTCTAACTAGATTTTGCCTAAAGTGGTGCGCATCTGACCTAACGTCAGAAAGCTAAGAAACCAAAAATTTGGTAAATGATGGAGAAACAATTATTGTAGAATGCCTGTAAATTGGATGGTAGAGAGCCAGAATAGGACGAACATGCGAGATTTATTCATATACCCAACATTCATTGTCATATTTCAACAGCAGTTAAATCAAGCGTTTCTAGATAGCTTCGGGTGGCAAAGTTTTTAACATAAACTGCTCGGCATCTCGTAAGGGGTAGAAAAGTCGGAATCACTTTTTGAAGGCCAAGCCATGAGAAGACCACCTTTAATCAGCAGTTTGTATTCCCACTAAGCACATACATCACCTCAGCCTGTCGGACAAATGACACATCAATCGCCTGGCATTGATGAACTAAAAGTACAATCAAGAGAATAAAATGACATCAGATTGAATAATGATAAATTTAGACCAGTTGAGAGTTCTGGAACAAGAAGACGTAGTAAAAAGGGACGACAAATTCAAAAAGTCATGTCTAGAAAGCATTAAAACAA